CCCCAAAACCCCAAAACCCCAAAACCCCAACTAAAGGGTAAATACTCGTATATATATTATTTAGGTTAATATTTCACAACCAAGATGTTTGAGCTCAAGAACTTACAAATTCATAGAATTGACAAGTCAATGAAGATGCTGAGAGTTGTCATGCTGATCCATTTAGCCAATCTTTCTATAAGAATAATAAGCACACTAGCTTTGGACTTTATCTGGATCGAAAAAGTAAGTACAAGGGGTTACCCGAAAGCTTTGAATTATTTGGCCTTATTAAAAAATTCATTGCTACTAGAGTGAGGTTTAAAGGAGGTACATTTCCAATTTAATTCCACTAGAAATATTTTAATCCCTAGAGAGGGCCTTATACTTTCAATATTTGTTCCTTAAGATTTGCTTTAACCCGATAGTGTAATATTTGAATAGGAAACAAAGACCATGAATCTTAAAGTAGATGAATTTTGCCATAAGTTATCACCGGACAACTATGTCGCAAAGAGCATTGGGACATTTCTGTTCCAGTCATCAAGCTTCAATTTGTGGATCATTTCGATGATTCTGTACATCATTGGGTTGTTAATTCTGCTATTTCACTTTTTACCCAAGAAGGCTATTCTCTCAAAGCTAATTCGACAGATACAGAGGATTGATCAGCAGACAGTTACAGAGAAGATGAATTTTGTGAAGAGAGTTGGCTACTTTATGATTCTTGGCAACATCATAACCATCCTGTCAAGAGAGTGGATTTACTCTTTGGCCAATCTCTCCACTGTCCGGATGTCAGAAGTCTTCCTTTACAACGTCATGATCAGCATATTCGTAATTAAGGAGACCAGACTGTGCATTCTGTTGAACTCTTTAGAGATTTTCCTGCTGAATTTCATGAACTTTTATGTGGTTGAGAGTCACCAGAAGTACAGAGTGCTGTTTAACTCAATGACAAGCTTGATTATCTCTTCAACACTGATGTTTTACTCCCTCAGAGATTACAAAGATAGCTTCGAGACTAAGAAAAGTTTCCAAGATCATGTGAGCATAATGCGAAGGATCCTTGAACTTTTCCCTTCAGGTCTCATGTTCTTTGAGAAGCAAAAATGCATCTATAAGAATAGGTTTTGGTATGATTTAGTTAAGAAATCTTTCACCTCTCCTGAAGATATTGGCCGAATTGTTTACCCCAAAGATGAACTGGAGGAGAAATCTGAGATCTTGCTGGAAAAAATTCGGTCTATTGAGGATGACTCCAACTCCTTGCTTGATGAAATATTCGCAGTAGAGACAAAAATGAGATGCTCTATTACGAAAAATAAACTTATGAAAAAGAACGGATTCATTTCGTTTAAAACCAACGAGAATTCTGATGTCTATGAATTTGAGCTAAAGAGTGAGAATGGACACCAGCTAGCCGAATTCGCTACTAAATTCTCAATTTTTGAATTTTCATCCAGAGATACACTCTTAATGGTAGTGATAAATGACGTAAGTGACCAACTGAAAATGAAGGAAGCGCGGATGCACGAACAACTAAAGTCTGTGATGCTCTGCTCAGTCTCTCATGAACTCCACTCTCCAATAAACCAAATTAATGGAACTTTGACACTTCTTGAGGATAATGTTCCTCAGTCTGGAATCCCTTTGATCAAAATTGCAAAGAGCTCCACTGAATTACTTAAACTTAAAGTTGATGATATCCTCGATTTCGGAGAAATCCAGACTCAACACTTCAAGTTAGAGACTGAGGATTTCAACCCAAGGAAGTTAGGTATTGAGCTTGATGAGATATTTTCACCTGTGGTGAATTCATCCAAGATTGAGCTCTACTTTATCATCAATGAGAAGACACCTATGGTGGTTCACCATGATTACAAGAGGATCAAACAGATCCTCGCTAACTTCATGGGTAACTCTGTCAAATACTGAAAGAGAGGAATGATCACTCTCAGGATTGGCTGGGAACCAATCAATGAGCAAAGAGGATACCTCAAGTTCTCTATCTCTGATACAGGGATAGGAATTCCCAAGGAGAAGAGAAAGAATTTGTTCAATTATCTTGACCCTCAAAATATTAAGAATTTACTGAATTCTCAAGACCATAACACTACAACTCTAGCAGGCACTGGTCTAGGCATTTCAGCAAAAATTATCCAAGAAATGGGATCAAAAATTGATTACATCTCCACTGAAGGAGAAGGGTCTAAATTTTGGTTTAAGATATTGGTAAATATTTTCTGGAAGTACAACTAACGGTGAAATATAGACATACAAGAGTAATCCAGATCAGAGATTAGACTCCGCTTCATCAAGTTTTGGAAAGCCAATAGAGTACGAAAGTGAGATGAACTACCCCAAGCCGCTTCAGATCGATGAGCGGAAAGACCAGATCGACCTAGGTATGAATCAGGCAGTCCAATCACCTTGTTCTGTAGCTATCGAAACAGGAAAATTATACACTACTGATGAGATATTGGACTGTTTCGATGAAAACCATTCAGATGGAGTCAGCCTAAACAACCAGACTTTTACTTATGAAGACTTTATGCCATTTAATCGAAGTGTTTACAGTGGAGGTGACAGCAATGGTAAGCAAGAGTTCTCTAAACCATTATTTTCCTGATTTCATATTAAATATCAAGACTTGGGACCATGAATAAGCTTAAACTCAGATTATGAAATTAGTGCATATTTGGGTAAACTTAAGGAGTTCATCAGGTTTATCTCTGATAAATTTTTATGCTAAGTGGCTTAAATTCTCGCTTAAAGTAGCTACAGGACATATGGGGTTAAATAAATTGGATTTCTTGGTATATCGAGCAGTAAATTTTATCCTTATGGTACAAAATTTCATCCAAATATGGAAAAATTTCACCCATATTCTGAGTAATCTTTTATCCTTGGTATAGTTCATAGCTGTGGCGACCCTCGCATGTTGTACAAAGAGCGAGAGAGGCGATTATCGACCCTAAACCTGTGTAAGTCTAAGAAGAATCAGAAGAAACAAATAAGCTTACGAAAGTCGAAGTCTAAGCTCCAGGAGAAGAATTTAAGTGGAGACAGCTGAGCCATCCCTGAAGAAGGAAGTCTTCCTCATATCCCTCTGTATGTCTCTACTAGTTCCAGAAGAAGCAAGGTCAGGCAGGAATTTAATGATATGTTAGTCGGTAAGAAGAGTATTAGTATCTGAAAATTTCATATCCTCAATCCGGAATTAATCTGGAAGATGAAATCCAAAGTTTATGTTAAATAAAATTATCACATTTCTGAATTTTAGAATCCAATTTGGGCTATTCAGATCCCTGAATAGCTAAAATTTATCTTGAAAATTGGATAAAAAGTGAAAATATTATTGGAGTAACTTATTTTAACATATTTTGAAAATTTACTAAAATTAAAACTTGCTTGATGTCCCCACTTGCTGGTGAGAGACTGCTTGAAAAATCAAGTTGCTACAATTATAGCTTTTCAGGGCTACTAGGCATCAAATCTCCCCCAAAATGTGCAGATTAATTTATGAAATATAGAGAAAAAGAAATCAAAGTTCTTCAACCTGAACATAGACAGTTTACAAAAAGACAATAAGAAATCGAAAGAAGAAGAGAAAGTAAGTAATTTATGTTTACTCCTTAGGAGGCCTCACGAAGAAAAAGTCCTGGCCAAGGAGAAGAGACTCCTGAGCATTTCCCTACTTCCCAGTTCTTCCTCACAAAGCCTATGACACTGGAGAATATTAATGAGGTTATGAAAGAGGATAGGAATGCTATTAAGAATAAGCGGTTTGCTGTTCGGAAGACCCGAAGTTCAAATATCAACCCAATCACTATCCCAAATTTACATCATTTCCTATCACCCAAAGACAAAGTGCCTAATTACTTGAGTCTGAAAGGAATAGCTTCAGAGAATGGGGAGTATATTTCCCATAGATTCCAAAAAGATTGTGAATGTCCTTCCATACTTATCGTTGATGACCAATATATAAACAGGTTCATCATCAAACAGTTCTGAGATAGATACCATATCCCATGGGTTGAGGCTGAGGATGGGCGAGAGTCCCTCAATATGATTAAGAAGTATACGAAAAAGCACTGCTGACAAGGCCTCGAGCTGATTCTCATGGACCTTAATATGCCCATTATGGGAGGTATCGAAGCAGCAGTCGAGATTACGAAGATGAGGGAGAACTATGAAATTAACCCTTCTATGAAGCTCATCGCTGTCACAGCATTTACATCCAAAACAGAGGAGATGAAGTGTATGTCAGTCGGGTTTGACGAGTTTATATCAAAGCCTTTCAAAATTTCCCATTTTCTAAGGCTGGTCTCTGAGTAAATTTTCTATAAGAGTTTACTATCTTGCTTCAATGTGGATACACTATTATTCTCAAATTCTTTACATAGAAAATAGCTAGTTCAATCATAATTATGACTTCGGGGTTTTGGGGTTTTGGGGTTTTGGGGTTTTGGGG